AATCAACTTTATTGGGGTATTAATTATTTCACTAAAATGTAAATATATAGTTTGACGAATGTGGACAAATAGTATATATCCCTGTAACCACCACCACAATCAAAATACAGAGCATTTCTATGACCCTTTATTATTTTAAAATATATATAATTTTAGGGTAGCTTTTGCCACGCAGCAACTTTTCATTTTGCTTTAGTACAAGTTGAAATTTTCTTTCATGGCTCCTGAATATTCTCATAATCAGAGAGGCTTTTATATTCTGAAGTTGAAAAATAATTGCTCATTCTTTATATCTACTATAGTTGTGCCTTTATTTATTTTCGTTTTCACATTTTGATTGGCGATCTGCTATGTAGCCGGTTGGTATGAAGTGTGGATCCAATGGATTTTATTCAAAGTGTCTCTGCAGCTATCCCAGCCCTAATAAACAATAGGCTATCCTCTCCCCTCACTGATGGGTGTCACATTTGTCATATACTACAATTTTGAATCTATTTCTGGACTTTATATTCTGTCCTATTTAAAAAAAAATTAAAGATTTATTTATGCATACAAGAGCTGGGGTGCAGGACAGAGGTATGGACAGGTGAGAGGATTCAGAGAGAGTGGGGAGCAGAACAGGTGGATCTACTGAAGTACACTGCTGAGGGGAGCAGCGGGCGAGACAGGAGAGGTCTGCTGAGCCATGTGGGTTGCTCCTGGCCGATTGGAGATCTAACTCGTGCTGCAGAAGGTGCGGATTGCTTCGTAGTGCAGTGCTTACCCCCTTGCGCCACCAGGGAGGCCCCAATTTGTGAACTTTTTACTTAAATTTAAAATATTTTTAACCATATTTGAAGTCCTCCACAATAAAAAATATATATAAAAACCCACCAGTATGTGTGTGTGCTTTTAGAATGTGCTTTAATCAAATGTGTTTTCAGCATTAAAAAGAGATTATGTAATTTTTCTCTTCACACTAATATGATTCATTATCTTAAGAGATCAATCTATCATTGAGCTAATCTTTCTAGAATAATCTCGTTTGGTTTATGGTATATTACTATTTTTCATGTCCCACTAGATTCTGTTTCCCAATATAAATTTTTGCATACATTTTCATAAGAGAAAATTTTAACTTTTTTTAAACTTTCATCAGGCTGTGGCACCAGTGTTTGCCTGGTTCCATCCTTGTGGGTTATTTTGTAAACTATTTTGCTAGAGGGAAAACGGGGTATAGCGGAGGGTGGTTTCACATTTGAGACATCTGTGTTTATGGGACTTACTATGTGTAGCATCTCATAAAAGGAAGGGGCCTGCACTTTCTTTTCCAGACTCTTCTTTTTGTCTCTAGAAAACCACAAATCTGGACATCCATGTGCCCTGTGAAAAGTTACCACATTAAAAGTCATGTGAGCTTACATGATGTTGTCCAGCTCAAACACACCTGCAGGTGTCTTCGTCCGTGTGTAGCTGCAAGATCATGATTGGCAGAGCCCTGTCTGGTGAGACCCCCTGTGGGGGTGTGGGTGGCAACTTCAAGTCAGGGGAACTCTCTTTAGGGGTCTCTTTCATAAGGGCACTAATTCTATTGGGGGGTTCCACCATCTTGACTGAATCTCTGCCCAAAGTCCCCACCTCCCACCCCCTTGGGGGTTAGGATCTCAATACATGGGTGTGTGGGGACATAACAGGCTACTCAGCAGGGCAAGGACTTGGTAGGGGCAAGTGAGATGCAAGGACACATTGCCCCCCTGATGCCCACCCTATAGCCCTTAGATTGAGGCCCCTTTGCAAGTTGGGGTCTAAGTGCGATTCTCATCCATCCCCCAAGTCCTGGCTCTGCTCTGAGGGCTTGACTTTGCAACTTGGTCTCTGACTTCACTTGTGGGCACTGAGGAGCCACTGAAGAATTAGGAGCAAGTCGAAGGTGATGAGAATGTGACTTGGGGGCCAGCGAAAGGCTGGGTTGGCATGGGGCTGGGGAGCGGCCAGCTTGAACTCAAGAGGTGGCAGCAGGAGGCATTCTGGGGAGAGTGGCAGGTGAGAACCTGGTTTCTGGAATCAGATGGCCCCAGTTCAAACCCTGGCTCCTTCCTTTCTTACTTATGACACTAGGAGAGACTCTTCACCTCTCGGAGCCTCAGTCTCTTCACCTGTAAAACGGGCATCACAACAGGGCTTGTCTACCTCGCCCCGGGGCAGTGCAGTTCGGCAAGGCCATGTATGGAAGGGGCTAGCTCAGTGCCTGGCACACAGCAGGCACCAGGACAGCCTGGAGTGAGGACCTCCAGAGATACCAAGGAAGACAGATGGGGTCCCCACTCAGCAAACCCTGGAACTGGGTGGATTAGCATCACCTGGGAAGCTTGGGCGCCACCACAAACCCAGGCCACACTCCATACCAATTAAATCACAATCAGAATCAGGCATCGGTAATTTCTAGAAGTTTCTCAGGTGTTTCCAATGTGTAGTGGAGCTTGGAAAGCACTGCTGGTTATTGATAGAACCTGGTGTGCCTGAGGCCCAGGCTGAGCGGCCTGACCTTGAAAAGGTGCAGCCAGCCAGCCATCTTGCAGCTGGGGCCGGGGAAGTCAGACTGGATGGCTGTGCAAGGTGCAAGGGGCACAAAAGCGTGTGGCTTTGGGGCCCAGCCTGGGGCGACAGCGGCTCCTGGGGGCCTTGATGGTGTGGTGGTGGCCGGCACCCCTGCCCCCCAGGCTGGGAAGGAGCCAGCCGCCCGCACCCTGCAGAGGACTCTTGAGCTGGAGGCCGGAGCAGCAGCTCTGAGCCAGGCTTGGGCACCAGAGGGAGCTCGTGGGGATGCGCCACGGCTCCATCCCTGCAGCTGGTTCAAACTGGTTTGGGCAGGGTGCGGCCTAGGCAGGCTGCATTCCAGGCCTCAGGCTTGCTGCCTGCTCCACGGTCACCCTAAGAGCTCTGGACCCGCAGGGTGCAGGGGCAAAAGCCGAGCACCAAGAGTGGAGAGGGAGGGGCTGAAAATTCACTGCACTTTGTTTAAAATCCGTGGTTTGGCCTGGGGGAGAAGGGACCCCTGACTTCTGCCCCCAGCAAGAAGCTGCCCCATAGAGATTCTTCTCGGACTGTGGTATGCATGCAAATTAGTTGCAGAGCTTTTAAAATGCACGTGCCCAGAGCCCCAAAGATTCTGTTTCGGAAAGTTGGGTTAGGGCTCAGGACAGCTGTATTTGGAGTGAAATGTTTCTACAGCAAAATCACACATTCTAGGCCTCCCTGGTGGCGCAAGGGGTTAAGCACAGCACTGCGAAGCTATCAGGAGCCTCTGCAGCAGGAGTTTGATCCCTGTCCTGCCAGGCTAGCTACCCAGAGGGCGCAGCAGACCTGTCCTGTATTTCAGTCAGTCTGTCTGTTCTGCTCCCCGCTCTGTCTCTGGTGAATCCTCTCACCTCCCACACCTCTGGCCTGTACCTCAGCTCTTGTATGCATAAATAAATAAATATTTTTTAAATCACACATTCTAGATAAAAGGACTAGAACCCAAATTGGGTAGCCGACTTGGTCCAGAGGTGCTTGTGAAGAACGCAGCTCTTGCCCGAGCACCCCATCTCAGGAAAAGGGGCTCTGGGAGAGCTGCGTTTTGAGGTATCCAAAGGCATTTCATTTTTAAATGAGTCATTCTGGGCATTCAAAAAGGTTTAACTATTGTAACAAGCATCAGCAGGAGTTATCAAACATGACAAACATAACTGAGACCCCCCTCACCCCCCTCCAACTTCCTCCCCTGGACCCCAGAGACAGGCGTCCCACTGGGCCCTTCCCCACACAGCCCTGCAGGCTCCTGTGTCAGCAACAGAGGTCTCCCACAAGTCTGAAGCCCGGGGCGATGGCTGTGTGCCCGGAGCCTCCGTGCCTGTCTTCTCCCCCTGGCATTAGGCTCTCGAGTTCCGGGGAGGCTGGCTGCGCTCAGGGTCTGGCTAATCTGAAGCCAGTTCAGGGTGTCTCCAGGGCAGGCTCCTTCCAGCCTGCAGAGGTGGGGTCCAGCTTGGCTCCCACGTGTAAGGCCGCCCAGGGCCCTGAGCTTTAGGGAAATCGGACAGTAAAGAGCTGCCGGGTTCAGATTTGGGGAGCTCCCATCAAACCCCACTTCCTGAGCCCCTGAGGCCCGTGTTTGCCCAGGGTGTTCTGGAAAACGGCTCTGGCCTGCAGGCTGGAATGTTTGGGTGGGATGTCCAGAAAGAGCAGCCTGCAGATGGGGAGTGGGGACACCCAGGGATGGACTGGGGAGCAGAGCCTGGGTTAGGCCCCTACCTAGGGATGCCAGGTAATGTAGACATTCAAATTAACAACCCCCCCAATCCCGGCGCTGCGGGGTGGGGGGGGTCCTGTTTATTTGCAACCACGACACATTTTAAAAGCAAAAGCATCCCAGGAAAATGGGAACTGCAGACTTCCCGCCATCGCTCTACCCTTCCTAGTACTTTCCTTGTCAGCATTTCTTGGGGGGGGGGGTGCACCCCACCCTCTTTTCCCTGAAAGGGTCTCTAGTCCGCAGGGGCGGGCCTGGGGGGACGGGTGTGGGGTGGTCTGCGGGTGGAGGGCCCAGCAGAAGAGCCCTCCTCCTCCTGCGGGAATCACTGCGAAGCTTCCAAAACCTGCGAGGCCCGCGCCCCAAGCCCAGGCTTCCCGCGCGGCGGCCGGGGGTGGCGCGCGGCTCGGGGGCTTGTGCCAGCACCTCGGAGCGGAGGGTGCCGGAGCCCCTGAAAAGGGGCGCTCTGCGCCGACGGCTGACATCGCCCGGCGAGCCCGACGGACGCCGAGTTCCCAGCCCCCGAGCGCGCGGCCGGGACTTTGGAAACTCCGCGCCCGGGGCGGGGGCCGCGGCTGGGGCGGGTCTCGGCGCGGCGGGCGCCTCGGCCACTGGGCGGCGCTGCCCGCTCGGGAGCCCCGGCCGGGCCGCGGGGCGCGCACCTGCCCCCTCCCACGGCGGGCCCGGGCGGGGCTGCGGGGCCGGGCGCGGCGCCGCGTCTCCGCGCCCCAGGATGCGGCTGCTGCGCGCTGGGCGGCCCGGGCCGGCGAGCGGCGGGGCGCGCGAGCTCGCGCTGCTGCTGACCCCGGAGCCGGGGCCCGAGGTAGGGCGGGGGGAGCCGAGCGGGGCGCGGCTCGGGGCGGGGGGTCTGTGGCCTGCGCGTCCCGGGGAAGCGGCGGACCCCGAGCGCGAGCGGATCGGGACGCGGAGCCCGGGCTCCCGCGGGCGGCTCCCGCACCCGGGGCTGGGGCGCGGGGTCCCCCCGGGGCGGAGCGTGGCTGCCCGGCGCCCCCAGAGAGGCGCGGCCGCTCGGGGTCCTCCGGCGACACCCGCCGCCCTCGGGGACCCAGGCGCGCCTTCTGCCTCCACTCGGGACCCCCCGCACCCGCCGGGGCCCCCTGGACGCCGGCCCGCGGCGCGCCCCCAACTGCTGCGCGTCGCCGGGAGGGCCGGGGCGGGGGGCGCGGGGGGCCGACCCCGGGGCCTGCCCCTCCTGGGCGCGCGGAGCTGCCGCCCGCGGGCGGGAGGCGCCCAGGGAAAAGGCCTCGCTGCCTGTGCTTCTGTTTTAAAAGCACAGAATAAAAAGTGGATCCAAAACCAGCCCTTTCATCTTCCAAGGGGAGCCGGTCTGTTGACAACGTGTGAAAAAGTTGTTTCCCCAAGTTCACCAGGGAGATCCGGGCCAGAAATCCAGCCCATTCTCTTGTGCATCAGCAGAACCCAAGGGGAGGCTCAGCCCCTCCGCCTCGGCTCCGCCACCCGCCACACCGGCACTACCAGCTCGTGTGTCCATCCCTGCAGGACTCGGCCACACGCGTGTGTGTGTGCACGTGTGCGGTGTCACTGACAGCCCCTGTCGCTGCTCCCAGGCCGTGCTGGGGTCTGGAGTCCCTTCTGCAACTTCTTTACTCGGAGCAGCCTAATGGGGGAGCTTGCAACGGACTAATGGGGAGCAGGCAAAGGGCTAGTGGGGAGCAGCATTGGCAAGGCCCAGGGCCGCCTTTGAGGATGGGGAACATGTTCTGGAATTGGTGACGATGGTCGCAATCCTTTGTGACTCTCCTGAAAACCCCTGGATTGTGCACTCTCAAGGGCGCGTGGTGTGGTTGTGCGCGACTGGACATATTCCCATGTCACAGTGTCCCCCCCAGACCTGGCCTGCAGCGGTATCCCCTGCGCCACAAATGTGAGCCATCCATGTTTAATGTTCTAGGAACCATGAAAAAGGAAAGGTGAGGTTAGTTTCCATCTGCTTGGAAGACTAGCATAGGCAAAGCATCGCGTGCGCATGTGATCAATATTCAGAATGTAATGGGCGTTTACAGCCTTTTCTTTGCCCGGAGTTGTCAAGGCCCAGCTCTGTCATCTCAGCTGGCGCCACATGTGCCGTTTCCTTAGTCCTTTGAGGCCACTGGCTTCTGGTCCTCTTCATCTTCATCCTTGGGGCCCATCATTAAAACATAATCACCGGGTCTCCCTGGTGGCGCAAGGGGTTAAGCTTCAGCACCATGAAGCTGTCTGCAGCCGCTGCTGCATGAGTTCAATCCCTGGCCAGGGAGCTACCCACATGGCACAGCAGACCTCTCCTGACTCCCCGCTGCTCCCCTCAGCAGTGGATTTCAGTGGATCCGCCTGTTCTGCTCCCCACTCTGTCTCTGGTGAATCCTCTCACCCCCCACACCTCTGGCCTGCACCCCAGTTCTTGTATGCATGAATAAATTAAAAAAAATAATCACTGCCTTTGCCTGAGCAGGTACAATGTGCTGTCAGCCTGCTGCCTGCTCGCGGGCGATGCCATTGTGTCCGGGTTTGGGGGAGGATGTTGTTCTGTCTGTCTTGTAGCGGAGAACACAGGACAGGGGGCATCCGGGGTGTGCTATCATGTATGAGCCATGCCCCCCGCCCCGGGTGCACATGTGGTTTGTCCTCCCTTCTTCACCGCTTGGCGCACTGGCGCACCTGTCCTGCTCCCCCCGCCTCAGAAGCCAGATACCGCCGTGCCCAGGGCTAGACCTCAGCTTCATTTTGTCTCCATTAGGACAGCCTTCAAGAGAAAGTGTGTGTGTTCACTTCATTTTCTCACTCGGGGCTCTCTTTAACTAGACGCCAGGTTGGCTCCCGCTCATTAGTAAAGAGCATAATGAAGAGCCCGGCTCCCTCGAGCTCCACGCGGCTAGAAACCCACGTCGAGCTCTTGCTGAAGCTTATTTACCCAAAGAAGCAGAAGCTGCCACGACAGTCTCTTGCAGCTGCTACTTAAAGCTTCATTCATTAGCAGGTCCCTGCGCTGACGCGGTTTGCAGCCGGGCACGTGAGCTAGCCAGGGGCCTCTGGTTTGGGGCAGGCCGGGACCACCCGTCCCGCCCGCCCAGCCCTTCTCCCAGGGCTTTTGGCTTTTTCATGGAGCAGTAGGCATCTCGGGCCAGCCCATTCCAGTCCTCGGGGTGCCCTGGGGTTCCTAGTGAAGTGGTTTGCTTCTCTCCTGGGGCCCCTACCTTGTGCCAGGTCCCACTGGGGCCACCAAGGAAGTGAAACGCACAAGCCGCCTCTCAGGGCACTGCCAGATAACATGGAACACTCCAAACTGCTGGACTGTGGTGGTGCCACGGAGAACATAACAGGAGGTGACGTGGGAGGGGAGTCTGTGTGTCTGGGAGACGAGGTGTGGTCATGGGGGCTTCCCTTGTCATTTCAGCCTGAGCCCTGAAGAATGAGTAGGCGTTGGCCAGACTGACAGGGAGGAGAGAGGGCGCCTAGGCAGCGAAAACAGAATGTGCAAAGGCCCTGGGGCGGGAGGAAACGGTGTTCTTTGGGCTAAAAGGGCAGTAGGCAGAAAGGGGAGCAGCAGGAGAGGTGAGGGGGGCAGGCCCAGGACGTTGCACACTCGCCCAGGACCGAGGCTCCCCGGAGGGAGGCACACTGAGATTGGGGGCAGGTGTGATTTGCTATTTCTGGTGCCCTTGTGGTTTTACGTTCAACCGGCTTTTTTGTGTTTTACTTTCTTTTTCTGGCATGAACTTCCTCTTTTGCGGGGTGGCGGGGAGAAGTGTCACAGGGGAGCCTCCAGAAACTGCTTTAAGTTGTCAGGGTGCCCTGTGATTTCTGAGGGGCCTCAGAACCCTCATAGATGCTGAGTGCTGATGCCCGCTCATGCTCATGCCCTGCTTTCCAGGATCCCAGGTGCCCTTACCTAGGGTGCGGGACGGCGCGGCCCGCATGGAAGGGCATGAAGCCAGCGCTTTCTTGTCCCCGGGGTCTCTGCTGTGGGAACAGAGAGTGATGGCTGGGAAGGCACCTGGGTCTTTGACCCACACCTGGATTAGCTCAGGGGCTGCCATCGGCTCCAGAGACCGAAACCAGCACTCTGAGCTGACCCGTGCCGTCCACATGGGGTTAAAAGTGGAGAATTTTCAGGGCCTCCCTGGTGGTGCCGGGGGTTGAGCGCAGGGCTGTGAAGCTGTTTGCAGCCTCTGCAGCGCGGGTTCCATCTGTGGCCGGCCAGGGAGCTACCCACATGGCGCGCAGACCTCTCCTGTCTCGCCCGCTGCTCCCCTCAGCAGTGTACTTCGGTCCTTCTGCCTGCTCTGCTCCCCGCTCTGTCTCTGGTGAATCCTCCCACCCTCCCACGCCTCTGGCCTGTACCCCAGCTCTTGTATAAATAAAAAATAAATCTTAAAAAAAAGTGGAGAATTTTCACAGAAAAACCAAATTCTTGTTTATTGAAAAAAGTAATTTTCACTCATTTTCTAACTTAAGCACAGTCTGGCAATCTTCGGTCATGTTCCCCCCTGTGGCCCTGTCCACACTTGCTGCTGTCCACACTTCTCCCTGTTGTCTCCCCAGCGTGGAAGAGGCACCAGTTACCGTTTACCCTTGTGCTTGAACGTTTGATTTTTCTGTTCTTGATAAAAAGAAAGGGAAGTATTTCTGCAACTCATATGTCTGGACTAAGGGAAGAAAACAAATTAGCCAAAGATGCTTGAGTTTCAAGAAAAATGTGGGAGAGGCTGTTTCTTTGTGGAAGCAAAGAATATTCTATTGCGTCCAACCTGCAAGTGCCGTGTGCCTGTGGGAAGCCCCGCTCCGTCCCCAGGTGTGTGCTCTATTCTTGTGGCCTGTTGGTCCCCTTTTGGCATCAAGTTGGGGTGTTTATTTGTTTTTATTCTTTTTTGGGGGGCTTGGGGCTGTTCAAATTAGAAATCTGGCAACCTGGCTCGAGCTGTAGTTCTGTGAGAATTTATTCCTCAAGTCTTTACAGCAAACCTGCTGCATGTGCCCCCCGTGCTGGGCACCTGGGAAAGGCCAGCATGGCGGCCGTGGTGCTGCCCCCCAGGACTGGCGCTGCAATCGTGGGGATGAGCTATAACCAGGGTCCAACCGAGTAGCTGAGTAGCTGAGTGGGGTCAGTACCTCAGAGGGGCTGTGACAGGGATACAGGCGTGTTGGGAGGAGCCGCCGGTCTGCGCACAACCTGGGGCACAGGAGGACCATCATTCCAGGTGTGTGGGCACCGTATCCCTCCCTGGTCAGGTGGGGCCCCGTGTGGGAGGGTGTGGGCTCTGCAGCCTCACGGGTCCAGCTGTCAGCTCGCTCAGTGCCCCCCGGCGGTGTCTCGGGTGTTGTGGGGTTGATGAGATCACAGGGACGCCCAGGCCAGGCCCTGGTCTGTTGTAAGCGGCCCGGGAACCCCAGCTCCGGTTATTCGTTTATTCATCCTGCGGCTGTTCAGTGCAGGTTCCACGTGCGCCGGGGCCAGGCGCTAGGGGCTGGTCCCCAGGGTGCTGGGCGGGTGACCGGCACACGCGGATACTTCCCTTCAGCATCCCCGGGTGGGCGAAGCCAACCTCCCCCTGCGCTGGGACCTCGCTGCCCAGCACTGCTTCCCGAGCTGCAAGGCCCCGAGCTCCGGCGTTAACCCTGCACCTTCGCCCCCGAGAGCAGCTCTGGGCTCCGGCTTTTGATTTGCCAGACAGTTGCTGGATGAACCGTCTTCGTGGACCTGTCCTGGGGACCTGAATTCGCAGCTGTCTTGGGACCTGACTTGAGTTCAGTGGTGCAAGTCTAGCAGGACACTGGCCTGTGGGTTCCTGTGGGTTCTTTTAG